GCCAGGGCAACCGCCGCGGCGGACGGGGCAAGCAGTCCGCTGGTGGTCGCCGTGGTGGCCGCAAGGGTGGCCGCCCGCTCAAGTCGGCGCCGCGCAAGAAGCTCACCGCTGAGGAGCTCGACGCTGAGCTCGCCCGCTACATGATTCGCGACGAGAAGCGCGGTGCCGCCCTGCTGGACGCCGAGCTCGACGCCTACAAGGCCGGCAAGGCTGCTGCCGAGGCCAAGGCTAAGGCTGAGGCTGAGGCCAAGGCCGCCGCCGAGGCTGCCGCCGCCGCCGAGGCTGCGGCTGCTGCTGAGGCCGCACCCGAGGCTGCCGCCGCTACTGCTGACGATGACGATGATCTGGAGGCTGCGCCCGAGGCTGAGGACGCCTAGACGCACCACCCTCCGCCCGTCTGCCCGCTCGTAGCCCAGTGCATGCAATACACGCGATGACTATTTCTCAGATGGCGCTTTATTCGCTCCCAGCTACAGATAGTCGACATACGAGGTGGGGAAGACTCCGTACTCGCCGGCCTCGTTGGTGCCCGACGACCATCCGTCGCCGTAGTCCTCGTCAAAGATGACCAACTCACCGGCGCGCAGCGCGATCTGGTCTGGTCCTGTCGGCGCATAGTCGTACAGTGCCTTTGAGTCAGGCTCGCCGGCGGTGTAGCCGTAGTCCTCTCCGCCATAGTTGTAGTCCTCGTCGCCGCCGCCGTAGTTGTAGCTGTCGTCGGCGCCGGTGTCGTAGTATGAGGTGGCGGCCGGCGGCGGCGCGGCGGCCTTTGCAGGCATCGGCGGTGGTGTCGGTCCGCCGCCAAACGACGGCGCTGGCGGCGGCCCGCCGCCAAACGACGGTGCCGGTGCCGGCCCACCGCCGTAGGAGGCTACTGGAGGAGGGGCAGTCGGCTTGGACGGCCCATAGTAGCCCGACAGCTCGAGCTCGAGGCGGGCGGCCTCGGAGATCTTGCGGTCTGCGGGCGCAGCGGTGATGGACTCGACATACGACGATGGGAACCAGCCGGAGCGGCCCGACTGGCCAGTCCCCTCCCACCAGCCCGAGTCTTCCTGCTTGGTGACGGCGATAATCTCGCCGGTAGAGAACGAGAGCATTGACGGGTCCGGGTCAGAGTAGTCGGCAATGGCCTTGACCGCCGAGATAAGCGACTTCCCGTCGGGCACCCCGGGCGTTGTGCCGATCTGGTCCGATTTGGAGAGGACCTTGCCCGGCCCGGTCCGTGCCACGAGCTCGACGTAGGCCGCGGGAACCATGCCCACGCGAGTCCCCATCTTGGCCTTCCACCAGTCGGTGCCCGAGTCGTCGATGATAGAAATGATGTCGTTGGCGGCAAACGAGAGCTCACGGTCGTCGCGCGCATCGTAGCTCTGCAGCGCCTTGACCACGCACACCGCCCGGGCGTTGATCCCTGACACGAGCTTTGACTTGCCGTGCCGACCCTCCTCGTCGACCTCGAGCCACGACCGGAGCGGTGTGTGGAGCGCAATGCTTGCCACGCCCACTGCGCTCACCAGCTGGCCAAGAAAGATCTCCACCGCCCGCTCGCGCTCCTGGATGTCCATCGGCGTCGCCTTGCGCTTGAGCTTCTTGAGTCCCTTGAACTTGGGCGTATTCTTCACTTTGTTGGCCTTCATCCGATCTGCCAGCCACTTCAGTGACTGCTCTGGCCGATGCACCTTCCACGTCGTCCGACCCTTTGTGATCGTCACCTCGTACATCTGTCCGCAACCACGCACCAGGCACGCACCACCACCACCACCACCATCACCACCAATGCGCACAATAGCCACCAGCACACGCCATACCCATACACACCCACACATGCACACATAGGCAGACCAAATCCACATCCACAGTAAGCACCAGTTGCCACAGCCAGTCCTTCCTCCCCCCCCCCCCTCCCTCCCCCCCCCCTCCCCCTCCCCTCCCCCCTCCCCACCACTATTCCCCTCAAACCCCCGCCTACATACAATGTCTTTGACCTTGGCATTAAAGCCAAGCAACTTGCACCGCATAGTCATGGTCTCCATGGTGGAGAGCACAGACAGGTGTAACAGCCTCCTTTTCACTCCACTCCCTCTGCCGCCCTGTCCTGCCCATGGTGCCCGGTGGCGGCTGTCTGCTGACGTGTGCCTGTTAGCGTCCCTTGCCACCTCCTCCCTCACAGCCGCAGCCAACGCCACAGATGCCATCACATCTGGACATATCCCGCCACACATCGCTTGCTTCTACCCATCTGAACATCTCCAGGATATCTCTCCTCACACACGCACGCACACACACACACACACTCTCTCTCTCTCTCTCGTCTACAGATCTCGAACTTCTTTTTCAGGTACCTGGGCAAACGTTCTCCACGCGCTCCACCACCACTCCTCAGGCGCATCCGCTTGCAACGGTGCTACGCTGCCCATGGCGAGCAGTGGAGCAAGTGACACGTCAAGGCAAGAACCAGAGCATCTGTATCATTGCTACCCACACTTTCCATCTCACTGTGGGCATGCTCTCGCCATCGCTCTCCTCCTCGCCGCGCACTCGGCATCGCACCTGACTCGATGGCCGACCAAGGGGAGAACTCGCGTAGGCCTCTGCGAGAAGAAGATGTGTGCGAGCATGTACTCTCGCCCGACGACATGAAGCGGTTCCATGCCGACGGCTATCTCGTTCTGCCCTGGCCGGTCCTCGAAGCCCACGCGCTCGACGCCGTCCGTCAGACCGCCGAGGAGCTCATGGTGGCCGGGCCGGAGACGGTGGCACGGCTGTACGAGCATCACGCCAACGAGACCGGCGATGAGGACGCAGTCCTGTTTCACTGTCTCGGAGGGTGGCGGGTGGCTTCGGCACTGGCGGATTTGGTGTACAACCCGGCGATCATCGGTCCGGTGTCGCAGCTGCTTCCTAGCCTGGCCTCTGAAGACGGCGCGCCGCGGGCGGGCGTGCGCTTGTGGCACGACCAACTGTTCTGCAAGCCTGGCGGCATCGGCGGGCCGGTTGCTTGGCACCAGGACATGTCGTACTGGACTCGTACCGCACCCGCTGCTCACCATCTCACCATCCACGTTGCGCTCGACGATCAGAACCACGAAAACGGCGGTCTGTATGTTGTGCCGGGCTCGCAGACGTGGGACCTACTCCCGGTCACCTCGCGGCACTTTGACGACATGGACTCGATTCACTCCGTGCTGACTTCAGAGCAGAGCGCTGCCTTTCATCCGCACCTGCTCGGGCTCAAGGCTGGCTACGCCTCCATCCACCACTCGCACACGGTCCACGGCTCCTGGCCAAACACGAGCTCCGCGCCACGCCGCGCCGCTGCTGTCAACGTCATCGCCGACGGTGTGTACGCCAACGACGATAGTCCGCTCCTCGCCGGCGTCCCGCCTGTTCCATGTGGCGAGCCGCTTGTCGGAGAGTACTTTCCGCTCCTCTTCGAGCCATGAGCTGGGCCCGCCCCGCGCCCCTTGCAGGCTTAGGCCTCGGCCTCCAGAGCCGCTTTGATGCCGTCGATGACATGGTTAAACGCGGCGACGCCGGCCGAGTCGGGCGCCTCCTCAAAGTATGACTTGCCGCGGTCGCACGACTTGGCCAGCGCAGGGTCAATAGGGATGGCGCCGAGGTACGGGACGCCCATGGCCTCACACATGGCCTCGGCGCCGCCGGTGGTGGGCGAGAAGATCATCGTCTTGGTCGAGCACGACGGGCACACAAAGCCCGACATGTTCTCCACAACCCCAAGAACCTTGACGCCGACCTTCTTGCAAAAGTTGATCTCCTTGCGCACATCGAGCAGGGACATCTCCTGCGGAGTGGTCACAATGACCGCGCCGTCAATGCCCGACCCCTTGAGATACTGCACGATCGAGAGGTGCTCGTCCGACGTGCCCGGCGGCGTGTCAACCACCAGATAGTCGAGCTTGGCGTCGTCGTCGTCGCCCGAAGCGGCCTCGGTCGCGGCCTCGCCCCAGTTGACGTCGCGGAGGAACTGCTTGATCATCCCGTTCTTCTTGGGCCCGCGCCAGATGATGGCCTGGTCTGGCGACTCGAGCAGAAATCCGATGGACATGACCGCCAGCGACTCGCCCACAAAGACGGGTGACCACCCGTCGCCGGTCACCGACATGATCGACTTGGACGCGACGCCCATGAGTGTCGGAATCGACGGCCCGCAGATGTCCACATCCAGCAGGCCCACTGTTGTCTTGTCCTGCGCCGCAAGCGCGCGCGCAAGGTGGGCAGAAAACGTCGACTTGCCCACCCCGCCCTTGCCCGACAGCACAAGAATCTTCTTCCGGATGCATCCCATCCGCTCGTTCACCGCACCCATGTCCGGATCCGGACCCTTGGGCGCAGACTGGCACGCCGACTGGTTCGGGCATCCTGCACACGACGCGGCCTTGCCTGCAGTCTCCGACTCGGTTCCCGGGCAGTCTGTCGCCATCCAACGATGAGTGAGTTGGTTGGTTTTCCCCTCCATGAGTCCACCCACCATCTCCTGGCCTCTCCTCGCCCAACTTCCGTCTCCCCCTCCCTCCCTCTCCCCCTCCCTCACCGCACACACCGCACACACCCCACACACCCCACACACGCCGCACACCCTCTCGCGCACGCACTCCACATACGATCATTGGCATTCTCCGGCACGGTATGCGACATGTTCCCAATACGTGTGCAAGAAGAGTGTGCCCCCCCCCCCCCGC